CCCTAGCGTTCATGCAGCTGCTCAGCTGGCTAACTCAGCAAACCGAACCAACTCAAAATTAACCCACCAAAACAAGAAAAGGAGGGGAGGACTGTTCTGAGACCAATCGGCCCCAGCTCCGGCCGACTGTGCAGCCAAAGCAGCACAAGTGTCAGCAGCGGGGAGGGCGCAGGAGGCTGCAGCCCGGGAGCTGCCTTTGGCGGGAGCCCAGCCGCAGGTCAGCCTGGGCCGATTGTGCAACTGCACATTCGAGCAGAGCTCCCTGCGCAGCCCCGGTCCCTGCGAGAGCTGCAATTAGTGTCTGACACTTCAAACGCTTATTGCCTGTTTTCCCAACTAAGAGTCTCCAATACAGGCCAGGAACAGATTCTTACATGTGCAGAGGGGACAGTCCTTGCGGGTGATTTAATGTCACCCTGTGAGAGTAAGTGCTTCAGGACAGAGCCAGGGTCTGTTCCCCTCCAAAGCGGGTGGCATAGTTAATACAAGAACAGAAGGGGACAGCTAAGCCATGTTTTTTGCCAGAGAAAGGGAGAACACACATTAACCCCATGGCCTGCGTCTTAAAGAATGACGCCTAGTTTTGGATGTTGTGTTTCGGTAGTGTTGTGGCAGTGATGATTTGCGGATGTAAGCAAGGCAGAATTTGTAGGAAGAGATAACGTCTTTTATTAGATCAGCTGATCCGGTTGTAAAAAGCAGACACCCTTGCAGGCACATAAGACCTTCTTCAGGCCTGTTTCAGATTTGCAGTGGGACTTGTGTCTCCAAAAGTGTGTTTTGCCTACTAGATAAGCTGATTTAATGCGAGACGTTACCTCTTTTCTACCGATCTTGCCACGCTGCTGATTAAAGTGTACTCATCGGGCAAAAGTTGCAGCTTTTTAACCGTGACGCCCTTTTAAGCTGGGCAGCGGTCCCTCATCCTGAAAATGCGGTGCTCACCCTTGAAATGTGAGCTCATGGGTGCACGCTGCTGAATGCCCAGCAGAGGCAGGACGGCAACGTTGCAGTGCTGCAGTGCAGGCAGCCGCACGCCGCATGAGCTCCTCTCCCTTCTCTTCCCCTGCAAGCCACGGGCAGGCGCCACCTAGTGAAGTAGCGAGGATCTTGGACTTAGGCAGTAAGCACCCGTAGGTTATATTTATCCGGTCAGCCCTAAAAGGATGCCTACTGGAGCGTAGGTTATTTTTTCAATATCAAACAAGTTATTTGTTTTAAAGGACCTATATGATTGGATTTCCTAAGGAAGGAGCCTGTCCAAGTCTTTGCTGTTATGTAAACCGGCGCACTGGTCCCATCAGCGCCGTGATGGGATAGATGCAAGCAAAGAAATAAGATTTTCAGAAAAACTGCTTAATACAAGATCAGCAACCTTGACAGGGCCTGTAAGGTAGCTATTGCCTAAGATACTTTCTGGCCAAAGGTAGTTGTTGCAATAAAAGTAACTTTGTCACTCTGTAACTGAGATCCAGAGGTAAATTGCAAACTCGGTAAGTGAGAGCCAGATTCCTTCCACTAATAAGAGGGCAGCCGCTGCCGCTCCGTAGCTGAGAAATCCCTCTGAATTCTTCCTGCTTCATGCATTCTCACTGGTAGCCGCAGTCAACATTACAGGAAGCAATGCTGAACACACACCCTCTTTTTGTGCTTTATGAACCTTACAATGGCAGCAAACACTTGTCTTTTGTCAGCAAATAAAGCAGACAGTATAAGACACAGAAGATTTATAACTTCCCAGCCCTCTGCACTTGGATTTACCCTCACCATTTACTTTTAACAGGAATGTTGCTGCTGAAACCCTGCATGATGTTTAGGATATTTACCCCATAGGGAGCAGATAATCTGTGAAGTAACAAGGTGCCATTTCCTACTGAATGTGTTCTCTGACTATAACCACATGTTAATGGTACAATTTAGGGCCACGCTAGAATGAAGCATCTATTCACCACTTCTTGGCACTGTTAAGCTGTGTAGCTACATGAACTGGAAAGGTTCTGTTTGCTGTCGTGCTGATATTTTTCAGATAGAAAAAAAAAATCAAAATGCCAAAGCTAAAATATCAGGCTTCATTGTGTGACTGTGTTTTCTGATTGTTTTCAGCATCAGAGCAAAACAATTTTATTTTGGAGTCAGACTCCAAAGTCTCCTAGCTTTCTCTGACCACTCCAATGGTGTTCCAAGCAGGTGACCAGTGCACATGACATGATGGCTCTCGAGACCACATTTAGCATGGCAGGATGCTTCCTGTTGGAAATCCTGCCTTCCCTTCAGGGAATTGCAAAGTGCTACCTAGCCCTTCGTTTTTTCCAGTATTTTGTCCATTCTGGCATGGGCATCAGAGGATTTTATTCTGTCCTTTGCACCATCAGCCAAGACGGGAGCTGAGTTCTGCCACCATGCCACCTACACCTTGCTCAGCACTGAACAGGCAAGAAGCCATGTCAGCATAGCCCATTTTAAAACCTCAGAGCAAGCCATAACACAAAACAGTTCCCATGAAGCCCACTGCAGTAATTGTTGCTCTTCTCTTCCCCAGACTAACGCTGTGCTTGACTGACTCTCCTTGTCAGTAGACAAGGAGATGTGTATTGGGACATATTAATCAGTGTATTGTATTGTACTAACCACAGTTGCTCACCTTGAAAGAGCTTCAGCTTAATTTCTTAGTGAAATGTGGCTTCTGTGATCACACCTGCAGCTGTATACATATTTTTCAGTGCGTGTTTTTCTATATATCTGTCCTTCTGCCCCAGGAACTTTTGAATTTACTGACCAATTTCAACAATCTTTAACAGAAGGGTAGTAGTTTTAAAGATCATTAGGCTCCTAAATGTTCATCAAAATAGGCAGCCAGCTACAGGAGACAGAACCTCTTGTCATTTAAAATAACAATGCTACTCAACCCTTACTTGCCCCAGAGCATGCACACTGGTGAGAGGTCTTATACAAATCCTCCCCACGCATTGTTTTGGCAGAACAGGATCCAGCCCTTGGTACTGCAGTTTCTTTCCAGACTGTTGATAAAGTGAGGATTGTGGACATGTTATTCAGTAGGTAATAACTGCCAGACGGTAATGAAATCCTTCAAACCCTGTGCAAGGCTTCAGCGGAGAGTCTGCCTTAGCATCCTGCCAAAGGCAGCCGTTCATTCAGAACTCAGGAAGGATTACTGGCGGTGTTACCCAAATCACTAGAAATAATCTTGTGGGATTAGCAGAGTTAATTGTGACCGGGTATATGTGGTAGCATCCAACCCATTTTAATCAGGTCTTTATGTCGAGCTCAGTGTATGTGTTCGCTTTCACCCATTTTGTATTCTCTCTCATCCATTTTGTGAGTGCCAACAGCGCAGCAGAAACCTCTGTAAAATGCAACAGATGAACAGCTGCAGTAACCAGTTGTCGGTTCACAAGAAGGAATTCTCCCCTTTGCAGCCGACTGTACAAACACGACCGAGCCTCGCAGCGCAGCGCGACGGCACAGGGGCATCGCTCCTTCGGGAACCCCCAGCCCTTTCTGCGGGGACGCAGCGCAGGGGTGGGGGGGACGGGCCTTCTCGGCTCATCCTAAGCCCCAGAGCTACCACTTAAAACAGATGTCTGTGTATAAAAAGGCCTCACACCTGCCAAACCACCAGCCTCAAGCTTCCTTCCTTGTTTCTTTAGGCCTCAGAATAACAAGAGCATTTGTGCAATGTGCAGTGCGCTCTGTGGTTTTCTCTTCTCCCTGAAGACATGCTATCTAATCTCAGAGCAAGAAATCAGACAGCAAGCCTTACAAGACAGGAGAAAAGAGGTGAACAGTGAGGCAATTCGCCCTTTGCTCGGTTGGCTTCACTTTTTCATAAAAAAAAAAAAGGAGAAAAAGAAGCGTGGGTCAGTGTTACAAATTCTGCAGGAGAGGCATTCGAATCTGGCAAAAAGTAGGGGTTCCTCATTTGTGCACGTTCTGCAGTGCGGCACACAGAGCACTAAACTAGAAAAATCCGTTAACGGAAAACTCATCTTGATTCAGAAACTTTCAAGGGTTTGCTTTTAAACTATGGTGTGAATTTAGTATTTTATGGCGGCTTCACTTTTGGTTCCTGTTTTTGCTAGCATTGAGAAATGAGGTGCCGTAGGAAGCCGCGTAGTGTGTAACATACAGTATCAGCCTGTATACAAAGGAAGGAAGATGATGTAGCAGAACATTGTTGAGGAAAGATCCTGTTTGTACAGTGAGCTGAAGAATAGTAAACCAGAACGGAATAGGGATGCAGAAAGACCAGAGAAGAAAGGAAACAAACTCCAAATGCTTGTGAATGCTGTTTGTGTGCACGAGCCCACTAGAGCCGGTGAAACATCTTGCTTATTTGTCTTTTCTCAGATTTCGTACCAGTGAACGGAGGGGAGGGGAGAAAAGAGAAGAGAGGGGAGACACACTTGGTTGCGTTCCTCTGCCAGTCTTTTCTTCTGAATCAGCCCTGCAACAGTTAGACACGTGACTCCAGCAACAGTTAGGTTTGCAACAAAACTGCCAGAGCTGACCAAAAGTTTCCTAAGAGTAATTCCTGGCTATGTCTTATTCCACAGAGAGTTGATTTCAGGAGACACTTCTAAAAAAGCTCCTATCCACCTCTGTGATATTTGGAGATGCATAAAAAGCCTTCTCTCCATTTGTTTTCCACGAAATATTAACTGATTTGATGAGTTTCAATTTCTGATAAACATTTGCCCATTGCAGAGACGCTGTACGTGTAACGGAGGGAAATTACTTCCCTGTAATATATGCCCATTTCAGATTATGTACTCTTTTGTTAGCCTTTTTAAAGCTTAGCCATTTAAGGCCATTACACTCTCTAAACAAGCCTCTAATACAATTTCAGATAAACCAGTCTTTTCAAAGTCATATCAAACATCTTGATAGTGGAGTATCTTGCCTCGGCAACAGGAGAATTACTCTGCGAGTAATCTGGAGTGGTGTGGCAGCAATTGTTCTATTTTTTTTTTCCTGAATTGATTCAAGCAGTTTATGGTCAGATTTAGCGACCATACGTGCACAACGGCAAAGCCTTGCATCCAAATACAAGCATTTGTAGTTCCTTTTCGCTTGTATATAACCTTCCTGTGTTGGTGTGAGCAACTTTGATCTTTGATATAGTGACCAGCTTCCTGGAGCAGTCGGCGGAAGATACGTTCTTAACTGTGTCTGCAAGCTGTGTCAAGAATTTATCAAAGTTGCTGACTCCTAACACTCAGGAGAGCAATACCATGGTACATATTATAAATGAAGACCCTTTTTTCCTGGCCCACTGGCTATAAGTAAATTTGATGCAAACAGGCAAGGAAAGCAGCACGCTAGGGTGTTTACTGATTTCTTTGTGTTGCGACTGTGATGGTTTGGGTGGACCCAGTTAGAGCTATCTGTAAAAAGGCAATGCATGAAAATGTCTCCCCTGTAAAATAAGCCATGTTTTTATTTTTAACAACCCTGAGGCATTCCAAAACATATCAGAGCCTTCCTGAACCAGAACAAAGTAAAACATGACTTTTATCCTAAAGTACCCGTAATCCGGGCAACCAGTGCCAAATGGGGAGTGAATCATAGGCTTGGAAGAGAAGTCAGGGACGTTCTTTTAAGCACCGAGAAAACCTTGTTTTATCAGGTGATTCCCATAGGGAATTTTCCTGTTTTGAGCTTTTCTATGGCTAATGAGTGACATTGCTGGATAATTTTGGTCATTCTAATGGCAGGTGCAATTTTGGGGGGTGAGGGGAAAGGTTAAAATCCCTCCCTTACTTTAGATGTTGTGTATCCTGCTCCTCTGCGATGTAGCTGGCACCACTGTCTGTGCTTGTGGGGACAGTGAGAGGAGCTACTGGAGACAACGACAGCTCTTGTGCAAGGCTGCAGCAAGGCAGGATCATGCCGCCGCTCCTCCAGTTGTCTGCCGGAGACAGCGAAGTGCTCACAGCTGGGAGGCCCCAGGACTGCAAGGCTGGTGGGCAGGTACGAGCTCCTGGCACTCTGTCCTGCCTTTCCTGTGGCCGGCATGGGAAGTGGGAGGAGACCAGGCTGCCCCTTCTGTTTTTATCACGGCTGTGTTCATATATATCCATGTATCCACGCATGGTGATCTCTCCTAGAGGTCTCAGTCTGCCCTGGCAATGCGGTGGGATGTACGCCACCCCACAACGCAGACAGTGCCTTTATCCATTAACAGTGGAAGTGTCCATTGATTCACACTGAAACGAGACTGCCCTGAGACTAGTCCTGTTTGTCCAAAATTGTTTGCATCACGTTTGAGAATATCCGATTTTGGAGTCTCAGCTCTCAGTGATGCAGCAGCAGTGTTACAAACTTTAAATTAAAACATGCACCAGCATGCTGCCCAGCCCTGAAGTGTGGTGGTCTGAAGCCCCCCATGTGGGATTGCAGGAGGCAACAGAGCTCTGGCCCAGGGGTTCACTTGCCATCGGTGCCAAGTTTTGCATCTTCGAGGTCAAGTACAGGGACCTGACCCGACATCAGGGAGTGCTTGGCTTGGGCCCACCTCTGCTGCTTCAGAGTTAGCCATTCGCGTTAAAAACTTCATCGTAGCAAGGAACGTCCTCCCTTGTCACCTTTTTGGTAAATTTGTGCAGCCTTTCTGGGCCTATATTATGGAAAGAGCTTCAAACAGAAATGTACAGCACTCAGCGACAGAATAAAAACCAACCACCTTCTCACAGCACAGCCAGCGAAGCCAGGCCGTGTACTTTGCTTCAAATGCTCAGAGATAGTGAACTTTACCCAGCGTATTCTGAAATCAGCAAGCGCTGGAGATACTGTGAAACAAGGGCAAGACTGTTTGTCCTGGCTGTTTCTGCCTGCTAAAGGGGACGGGGACAGGTGCCGGGTCACGCAGGTCTTCAGCTTCACTGCAGATGTACCAGTGAGAGTTTTGGCCCGTAATAGTATCACGCATGTACAGCTACCATGAAAACCCCTCGGAATAGAACAGGGGAAAAGATCTGGGAGATGACAGCTTAATATTGGTATTGTCCTTCTGTGCAACAGCACCCCAAACAAGAAGCGGTTGCCACGCGCAGATAGTGCAGGGAGGAGTATTGTTACAAAATCTGCACTCAGTGCCGGTTAATGAGTTTCCTGTCCAAGGACTGCTGAGCATGTTATCTAGTCCCAGAAAGAGCCACTCCCACCAGCAATACAATTCCACAAAGCTACAGACCAGACGACTTGCCAGACTGCAAAACCCACTGAACAATAGCATTCGCGCTCGCTGCCACGACGTGGGGTTTCAGGCAGCTGCTTTCAGACGCTCGTATTGCTTCGCTAGGCTGACGGTTCTTATGCAGTAGGGTGTATCTGTAGGTTGATTAAAACCCGTGTGAGATTTGCCGGAATCAAAATTTTAGCCCTGAAATTAGGCAAACTTTGGGGAAAGTCACACCTGGTTGTGCAGTTCAGGCCCATTTTTGGGAGCCTTCGGTCGATGGCTGCACAGTGCTTCCAGAGTATCATCAGAAGAGGCCTTTAGAGGGCTCTGTAGTTTTGCACCGAGCCTGTTGTGCGTTAGCTCTTGACTCTCTTTCCTGGAGCGCATGTGACTTCAGGCCTTTCAGTGTGTGGCCTCCCAGCGCAGAAGCATTGCTCCTGCTGCTGGGCACCCTGCATGGAGGGCTGCAGTGCGGCTAGCCGGCGCCGTGGCTCGGCCGGCGCTTTTTTTCCAGAAGCTTGGCTCCTGCTGCTGGCCACCCTGCATGGAGGGCTGCAGTGCGGCTAGCCGGCTCCGTGCTCAGCCCGGCAGCCAGCGTCCCACGCAAGATCTTGTGGTGCTGAGCTGCATCACTGCCGATGAAGGGCTCGCTCTGTGGGGGCGTGAAGGGGAGTGAAAATGTGCTTGTCCCATACAGTTGGCAGGTTGTAAATGTAATTTTTCAGAGCAGTGGATGCCAGCACTACACTTGGTGTAGGGGAAGAAGAGGGAATGATTCCCCTGGGAAAGAACGGATAGCTGAATGGATGTTCACTTGAATATGCTGAAAATAAGAGAGCAAAGGATGCTGCTCATCAGAGCCCTCCACGATCATGAGAAGAGGAGCAAGCTTTTTCAGCTCATGGGGAGACAGAGAGAGAAGGACAAGTCCAGAATATGTGGAGGTGGGAGCTGCATACGGCCTTGCTACTGGACTTGTTTTCTGTGCTAGTGGCCTAGGGAACCGGTAGAACTAGCCTGGGACACTAAAAGCTGTAACCCTAATTCATCATTTATACCCTGCCATCATCTGAGCAGACATGTCTATCCCAGTATTTTCAGATACAGAGAGTTGCTGCATTTCACAATCATGGGAAGGACTCCCCAGCTGCATGATCCAAATGTTTGGAAGTGAAACATGGTGCATTATATTAACTTGGTTCAGACAATCAGCTCTAAACATCTGAATCTCATTTCTTGATGTTAATTCCTCTTGCTCAATCTTTATTTCAGCTGTGTGGAATTCTCAGACCTTCCTGACCCTGACTTATCGTTTCCTGATGTTTTATTGCTAAGTCATTGAGGTTTCAGGGAGGCTAATGTTTCTGAAACATGCACACCTTTGATTGTACCCATGGCCAGTCTGTCGGATCAAACTTTTCATATGCTCTGTATATATCATTGTCTCCAATTGCTGTGTCCTGTGCAGTTCACCATTCTGCCTGCTTATTTGCATGCCCCATCAATACAGGCCTCCTTAAATGTGTTTATTATTTAAGGCTTTTCAAGCTCAGCCTCTGCATACTACAAAACTTGATCTGAGCTTACGTCCGCGCTTGTCACTCATATACAGGTTCCATCTGTTCCCCTTTTTCTCTCCCTTTGCCACATCCAGACCACATGCTGCTTATACATTGTACAATAGACGTTGCTGCACACACACTTTTGAAAATGTGGCTCTTAGTGCTTTATTGTTCACATGTGTCTTGTTGCTTAAGGCAAGTTTTATCAGTAATGATTCTGTTGTTTACTGATACATAGAATAAAACAGAGTACCGTGTGACTGGAAGAGAGGAGAAGGGCCTTTCATACGCCAGTTGCACAGTTTTTGCCAGCTTTCTGATCGTTCCCCCATGCCACCACTTCCCCAAAATCTGTAATTGCCTGACGATAAAACCAGATCTTAACATCACTTCCAGCAATGTAATGACTACCGCACTCTGCGTGAGGCTGCTCTGTGCTGGTAAGGATTCACTAGCATGGAGCAAATCTGGACTACAGTCCCATGTCAGGTGAGGAGAGGGGATGGCACTTTCTATCACCAAAGCAGTCTTTTTCGTAAGACAACCCAAGCTTCCCCTCTAGGTCTGCTTTACAGTTGCACAGCAGCATCTCTACATAAGGGCTACATTATTCTATTTAGGAAAAAAATTCCTTCCAGTAACTGGTTCTGGAACTGAGTTCAGTGATGGGTATATCTATGAGGAACCTCTTCCTGCAGGAGCTGTATCTGACTTCTAGCAGCTACACCGGTATGTGAGCTGGAGCAGACCCACAGGTGTGCAACAGCAAGTGAATTATCACAGGCAGATCCACTGGGAGCCATTTCAGCTCTTTCCCATTACCCCTTGCTCCGTACCTGTAATGAGACTGAAGTATCTGCAAACAGATCACAGTGAGTGCAACACCCAGGAACGTTCCTGGGTGTCTGCAGAGGGGATGGCACAGAGCCCATTACCCTGGATTATTGCCACCTGGGGATTTTTCACACCAGGAAAATCCCCAGCTGCCCCAAATCCCTGGCTTCCCACCTGAAGAAGCTGAAGACTTGGCTATGATGCTGATAATATCTGCTACTGGGGAGAAAAAAGGCTACAGAGACCCACTTCTGACAGGAGAAGATTCAATTTCTATCAGAGACTTGTTTGGATTAAAGCTTTCCCTTACCAAGGCAGTACCTGCTTCTGACATGGAGATAGTCAGCTACTCCCTTCCCTAGAAGCGAGGCAAGCAGTCACGCAGCTCAGCAGGCACCCACGCTATGCAGCCAAAATCCTGCTTGCTTGGCACTCCATCTCCTGGGTATGGCAGAGCATACACCCTGGAGACCTATCAGGAAGACATACTGGAGAGCTAACGCTGAAAGCTTCCTTCATGAGGGCTGCTAAAAAGATTACATGAGGACAGAAACGTGAAGACTCTTCCACTTCTAGCTCCCACTATTGTCCATGGACTACAGCCGTGGCTGGTACTGGTGCCCGTGGCTCCCATCCCAAACTGTCCCCTCCGCTGTTCAGCAAGTTCTCTTTCCTTCCCACCCCGAAAAGAGGTGGATAGGAAGAGCCACCTTTTTTGCACCAATATACTCATCCTTTGCAGATGTAGCATGCTCAAAACACCTGCTAACATTCTGTATTGAGACTGCCAGTGTATTAATCTGCTAAGTGCTTGCTCTGTATTCGTCTCCAGGCAATGAACAGTCCACACCCAACACAGAGCAAACTAGCGTGCAAAGCCCTTGGCAATTGCTCAGGGGAAAGGCCCAGTGGTTACTTTATATTTTGTGTACCAGTCTTTACCAATTTGAGGCCGCTGATGGGCCAGAAGGGTGGCATGAAGGATATCAAAGAAGAGACTGAAGCAGAGTTCTGGGCAAACTGTTGTAGATTAAAAAGGAGGCAGGTAGGAACAGAGATGAAGTAAGTGCTTTAATCAGTTATTAATGAGAAACAAAGGTTTTAAGTGACATTTGAATATGGGAAAGAAATCCGTATCCGTGCTTTTCATTGGTGCTGAAAGAGTGCTAAAAGCAGAAGTGGTTGCTGGAGTCTGAACAGGAATCTGAGGCTGAGCTCTCAACTTCCTCCCAACTGGATGAGAAACTATTCACTTGATTTACAGGTTCATTGGCAGAACAGGTCTTATTTTATAGAATTTTACCTTTTTTGAAACAAATTGCTTTGTGAGCAGTGGAACTAATGAAACTCGGTTTCCTGTGGGTCTGTGACCCATCCGTCCATGCTCCCTCCCTCCTCCCATGCACAGCCATAAGCCCAGCTCTCCCCTCTGCATGTGCTGTAAGACCCCCCCATCAGGCAGCCGCGAGGTATGTACTGGGAGAGCAGCTAATGCATACGTGGTCAGCCAGCAAGCGCACGCTTACTAGCCAGTTGGCTGCTGGCTGTGTTTCTCTAATTTAGGTCTCTGTCCTTTGCCCAGTCATCAATTTTCACAAAGCGTACAGGAAATGAATAGCCTTTGAAACTTCTACCTTTCTGTCATATATGAAATGAGTTAAAAGTTATTGATGGAGCTGGACAGACAGATTGAACCCAGGATGAAAAAAAGTTCGATTGTATTGGCTTTAGATGTACATGCAGGACTTCAGTCCAGGTTCTGGAATTCATTTCTCTCCCTCTCTCTTTTTCAGCTATTTTTAACCTGGATGGGTTCTGTGATTTGTTTCGCACACAGCATTCAAACTGGCACAGCTGAGGGAAGAGCGAGCGCTGGGAACAGGAGAAGGGAAAGCAGGGGCTGCTTATGTTGGCACTGCTACTAAAAGAAGTACTCATCAAACTGAAGCCTCAGTCTCTTCGCATCTCACATCTGTAAAGTGGAAATGATGATAGCCTCACATCACCTCTCTGAAAGGTTGTGAAGATAAATATATTCACAGTCTTAAGGCGGTCAGATACAGGCAAAAAAAACAGCTAGAGAGAGAAATCAAGGCATCCTGTAAAGAAACACCAAAAACAGTGGCCAGTTTCAAAATTTAACTTTTTCTGGTGTAGTTCAACATCTCATACTGCCCAAATTTCTGTATCTGCATCTCGAGACATCCCTCTGTATAGGGTCTCCTAGGAAAAATCATTTTTTGTGGAAGCCCAATGACTTTACAGAGTCTGGACATCAGTTCACAGGATCAGGTTCTAGACAGCCTGTGTCTGAGTTACTGTCCACACAAACCTGAGGCTTGGAAGGGCAGAGGTTTAATCTGGAAAAGTTTGAGCCTTAATTTATAGCATGACATCTTTAATTGCAAAACCTTTTTTTTTTCTTCAGTTAAATATATAGATGATTATAATATGTGAGATCTTTCTTTCTTCCCTGTGCTCTCTTTAACTGTGTTTGTTAGACATGAAAGGAAAAGAGGATTAAAAGGGAGAGATCATATCGTAAACAGCCCTTCAGGGTAGGTGGGAAAACAACAGTAACTCTCTGAAACAGAACATAGGGATGCCCTTAGGAAAAGGATTTGAAAGTGTCCTGTATTTGAAAGTTAATGCGTAAATAGATCTCAAACATAACTTTAAAGACTGACAATGCCAGCTTTAACATCTCAAGCATGCACCACAACTGAGAAGAGACAAAGAGAATTTTTAATGGGCAATAAAGGGACAAATATTTTTGGATGCAAAGCTAAAAGCAAGTTAGTTCTGATGGGATGTGGGTTTGTTCTGAACTTCCTGACACAGTGACTTTACTGTATTGGGCTGGTTTGCTTTACACCATCTTCTGTTGAGGCACCACTTTTTCCTATAAAAAAGAAAAAAAGAGGGTCATAGTAAAGAATCCTTTGAGCCTCAGTAAATCCGTTGGGCATTGAGGCTGTTGGCTTTGGGGGTTGTGTGGGCACGTGCTGGGCCACCTCTTTGCTGTGCTGTGATGCCTTACTTCGTACCCGGTGCAGGTTGCCTGTTCATATCTGCCCCTGTTCCCTTATCTCCTTGAGAAGATGTCCCCATGGTAGTGAAATGCTGGCAGCAAGGCAATAACATCCCTCTCCACCAACAGCTAGCAGTGCAGTCACCGCATACTTGTTGCACTTCGAATGAACAATCTCTTGGTTATCGTGTTCCTAGATATAAGGTATTTTGAAGGAAAGCTAGTCTTGTCTGGAGCTTTTGTCCAGTTCCTGTCATGGCCTCTTGACGCTCAGGGTTGTCATGAGCGTTCAATAGTTACAGTAAAACACCACAAACGTGACTGCACCTTTGCAGTCACGGGAAGAGCCCCAGAAGGTCCCCAAAGTAGGTCTCCCTTTGCTTCAGCCAGAGCTGGCTCAAGGCAGAGATGAAGTTGCCTCCTAAGAGGCCACACTTCTTGTTTTGCTCATGCCTGAAGAGACAAAAATGGATGTTTCCGATGTAAACGGCTCATCCATGCCTTCTGCCTGTACGATCCTCTGCTGAAGGGAAGAATCTCAGTCCCTTGCCCGTTCCTAGCAGCCCGTGGAGGGCAGAAAGAGCCACCGCATGAGGTAGAGGAAGGGGAAAAGGAGTGTATCCTGCTGGGGACAAGGGATGGGAGGGATGTGTGGGTACAAGAAGGCAGAATTAGAACGGGAAGCCTGTGTAAAGGGGGAGTGGCATCAAACAAGGGTTGGGAGAGGCAGGGAGAAAGGAGAGACAGAGAACCCCTATTTCCAGCCAAAAGCCAAGCCTATCAAAGCCCCCCTAAACCTGGGTATGCCCTCACCCACCTAGAAACCTTCAAAATCCCACTGATGTCCTGCAGAATCTTTACCCACACAGGGTGCCCAAAACCATATCATGTACTCCTAGCTCCCTTATCCTTACACCTCAGAAACTCATGGACCATTTCACAAACCTTCTTTCTGTCCCCCGTTTCTCCCAAAGCTGCTCTGCTGTAACTGTAACATTGAGATAGGTCTGCACACACCAGCATAAGTTGCCAGCCTAAAAAAAGAAGAGAGAATCAGCTCCCTATGCTTTAGACATCCAGACACCAGGGAGCATGTGCCACCCTTGACAGAACACATTAATAGCACCTCCACCCCCTTATCACAGCTGTTTTCTGACTCACTTACCCTTTTCCTAAGGGTCAGCCACCACCTTCCAGTGCATTCTCAGTTGATAAGAAATACTTAGCTGAATTGCCATGCTCAGTCATTATGTTCTGTCTCTTCCAGGGCAACTAAAATCCCAGTCTGTCCGCTCACACCTTCACGCAGCCTCTCAGATCTAAGGATTGCACAGCTCCTCAGAAACCTTCTGCCCTTCTCTCTGCACTCAACCTCTCACCAGGTTGCATCCTACCGAAGTGCATCATATGCCCCCTCTGCAGGAGAGGTGCCTGCCCTCCTCCAAAAACCACGTGACTCCCTGTCACTCTGAGCTTGGATACTTTGACAAATGGGTAGAGGCATAGGCTTGGCTGCTCTGTGTCCTCTTCCCTCCCTCACCAGGGCCTCCTTCAGTACGTTCCCAGCCTCTTTCCTCTCATTAGCTTTTTCTGGGTTAGTCTTCCTCAAACTTCTCTCTGTCTAAGTGACAGGCTGCCAAACAGGCTGGCTCCTACTTACATAACCCTTCGCTTGACTGTTCCCAGGATGCAGCTTGGGGCCAATATGGGTATGACTGAGCCTATTTCTCCTGGCCTGTCAGTGACAGTATCACATGGGTCAGCTCTGCTGTGGCTTCTCTTTACCCTTTGGAAGTTAGCGCCAGCAAAGGTGCTAGATTTGTATTACCCAAAAGCAAGAACTGTGTTTAGTCCACCTTTCATACATATATAGGCTCTATCAATCAAGTCCTGTGCAATTTCTGGCATCCTTCTGAGCAACTGGAGCATGAGAGCGAAGAGGGAAGAGGCTGCTGAGCTGCTGTGCGTGTTGATGAACAGAGACTGCTTGCACAAGGGGCCACGTTCGTCAGGGCAGCCACGGCCCAGGGCACTCAGCAAATACAGCCGCGTGGTGTGAGGCTCCGAGCTGCTTGTGACCCTCTTTGGAAAAATGCAAGAGTTCAATTTTCTTTTGGCTGATAAAGTGGGTATTGTGAAGAAACCAGAAATACTAGTCCTGCTCAAGAGCTCTACTGTGCCCCAGGCGAGAATACCAAAGCAGGATTCTCCCTTCAAATAAAAGTCCAACAGCCAGATATTCCCCATGCAGTCCCAAGTGGAGGGCCCTGCTGGCTGGGAATACGCACCATGACCACAGAGTGTGTGGCTCCAAGGGCAACGGTGTGCGAGTGGGGATAGACAGATGGAGCAAGGTAACATAAACCCCTGGGGACAAAGGGTTTGCTCTCCAGGCAGAACCAGAGGGGTTTCCGCACCTGCCTTCCCTAGGTGTGGGCGAGGTGCTCCCAGTGCCTCTTTGGATTTGGCTCACCAAGAACAGCAGCACCATCAGCAGGAGGTGAAAAACAAGGGAGAGGAACTTGAAGGACAGGTGCACACAAGCACATGGAAGAAGTGGGTGCTCCAATACTGTTAAGCAGTGAAGAAAGAGAGAAAGTTCAAAGAGGACTAGAAAAAACAGAACTTCTCCTTACGGTGCATGAGATCAAATATCACAGAGCAAGGGTAGGTCTGGGAAATTGAATGCCTGGGACTTTTCAGTGGGAGGAGGAAGCCCCTCAAGCTAAAAACTATGCTCCCATTTCCTGTCCTAGGCCACTGCCCACAGGCTCACAGCAAGCATCAGTATCAAGTGGGAAACACCAATCTTTATGGATATCAGTTTAGCAATCCCCAAGTCCAAGCAAACCCCAAATCCCATCAGAGCCCAGGGGATGACCAGTTTCCCTGCTTGATCCCTGCTCCTTCTATGCTTTTCCTTATGCTAAACATGGATTTATACTTCAGAAAAATACACTTTGATTAAATAAAACAGTCTCTTTACCTATACCTCGACATTCCCTCCCTTTAGTCCCCTCCACTGGAGTGCAGGGCCCAAGTCATCTGTCCAAATGCAGGGGTCAAATCAGGCAAAAAGCTCTCGGGACTCCACTGACTACTCTGACTAGATCTTCATTGACTGGAAATGGCAAACTTCTCTCCAGGACTCAATACTACTTCCCCAAACCCTGTGGCTGCACAGTCAAGAGACTAAAAAGCAGTGTCCCAAGTCCTGCCACAGCGGGGACTGTGTGGCAGGTATTTGAGAATGAGCAAGTCTCTCTGTTGCAGCTATACCCCCTATCTCCACTCCTATCCAAAACTGGTGTGTGTTTTTCCTTGGACAGTGGATATCAGAAGAATTGGTGTTTTCCACACAAAAATGCCTGGTTGGTACATTTCCAAGACTTTCTATTTTTGATTCAATGAAGAATGGCAGCTTTCCATGGAATTTACTTTTCTTTCCTTTTTTTCTTTTCCTTTTTTCGCCAAAACACGATCGCTCAAAAATCTATACATTTTCATTTGGAAATGCTACCAGGAGGCCTCATGGATGTCAGAGTTCAATTGTCCTGTTCTGCAGGAGGTTGGACGGTTTTTGTAATAGTCCTTTCTAACTTGAAAAACTGCACATTTATCTTTTACATCTTTTATCTTCTCATTAAACTGCTTTTCCCTCTTATTCTCTTTAAGAGAGCAAAGTGGTGGCTCTGCCACAGAATTCTGAAAACGCTCATGTTTTTTAATATCATACTCCAGCTCCTGCAGCCGTATGATCACTTGTGACCATACAGGATTAGGAGAGGAGACACAGCTGTGAAGAAGCCGCAGGAAGCCACTCTGCTCCATGTTCAAGCTAAAGCTTTGCTGACCAGCACACACCTCAGAGCTGGGGGTACACACAGATCTCACAGGAAGCGTCCAGTAGTCTCCTGCGCTCAGGTTCTCCCACTGCTATATACAAGTTGTTCCATAGTCTGCTGCCCACATGCTAAACAGTCCAAATTTGCAAAAGCGTACCTTCTCCTTACCAGCTCCCTCATTTTGACACATTTCTGCTTTCACCTTTTTTTTTTGGTCCCATCCTGTGTCTCTGGAGTCCTCCATGAGCAAGAACTTGCTTCCTCCGAGACGTAATGCTCCTCACTTGCTGTCTCGCAAGCAGAATCACTTTGGCCAGCAGCCAGGACTGCAACGAGGGCCAGGCACATGCAGGGCAGCTGAAAAGTACCTCAGCTTTGGGAAATCCTGCTGGGCTGTAAAAGCTGCCCACAAACCCAAATCATATCAAGCAAGGCCTGCCTGATAATTCTTTGGCATAATCCCCGAACTTGCTGAACTGCTTTTCCATACAAAGTATTTCCAGGTGGGTTATTAGGTCCTTATCCCTTCCATCTTGTATCCTCTTGTGGTTGAAAATGGCATTCTTCAGAGCAAGCTAATTTTTAAAGGAAAACATTATTTTCCGTTACATTTCTGGTTCCTCTAAATCGAAGGATACTTTGCAAGCCCCAAATTCTCCCTGCCACAACACATAGCACGAAGGTCTCATCTCCCCACAATGCCTGTGCCCATATTGAACTAGTTAGGGCCACAATTTATTTTTTTACAAGAACACTGATAACTGGTATGGCCGCCAGGATGAACAGTTATGCTGGTACAGAGGAGCCGTACACTCTTAAACCTAGTTTCCCTTCCTGCACTTTTATAACAGCATCACTGTAGCCACATTTGAGTCTCTGCTGCTTTAATTGTCCCAGAGTAGTTAAAATGAAAGAGCTGAGCCAAGTCTGTAGTGCAGCCGTCTGCTGGCAGCGCTGTGCGCGTCGGGGGCGAGCAGGCAGCCGCCGGACCCGTGGAGCTGATCCAGCTCCGGCTACACGCCGTCGCGCTGCTTTACTAGCGTAGCTTGTTCCCATGGCGCGCACACACCATGCCTGGTGAAGCTCAGCTTGGCCAGGGAAAGCTGCGTGCGCGTGGGGACCTGTGCGCCGGCACGCCACGCAGCACAGCTTTGCTTTCCTTCGGTCAGCGGGAGGCCGCTTTGCCGTGAAAGAGGCAGTCAGCCTGCTTGCTGGCTTTCCGTTGTTTTTCACTCCGTTGCGCACCGCAGCGAAACGTGTCTAATATGGGACAGGGTTATTAAAAACGGAGCCCAGGTGTAAGACTCGCAGTTGTGCGCCTCGCGCTGGCAGGAGAGGAGCGGGTGCGGAAATGGTAGGGCTTTTGTGCGAAAATTTTCAAAGCAACAAACTGATTAGAGTCTCTGGGGCCACAACAGAAAATGAGGAGAGGCGGAGACAGAACGGAACAAAACCCAAAGCATTTCTGTCAGTGAAAACAACGCGTTTCGCTTTGAGAAACTCTCAGACCGTACGGTTTTGAAAGGACATGTATCTTTGAAAACATAAGCAACGCTGACCAGTAAAATCCCAGCCGGCAGCGAGTGATTTGGTTGCGAAGCAGCCCCATCAGCGAGACCTTACGCTGCCGGGGGGGACCGCAGGCCTCACCGGTGGCCCCAGGATGCGCGAGCCAGCGAGGATTTCGTTCGTAGCAGTGCTTGAGGGAGGCAGGTGTCGATGGGAGCCCTGTGGGCCGGTGCCGCATCAGCAAGCACGCCCGGCGTCAGGAAGGCCAGAAGGTCCGCGCAGGCGCAGCGCGCCGGCATGACTCACGGCCCCCGTCGCACCCCCTGGCTGGACACACTTCCTTCCAGCGTCCCCTCCCAAGGCGGATTCCCGACACCTCCCACTCCCGATATCTTCAGCTTTTTTTTTCCAAAGGCCGCCCAGCCCACTCCCGCTGGTGGCCGGCCAGCTGTGGCTAGCTGCGCTCAGCACCGCTGCCTGCCCTCACGCTTGGGCCAGGCGCTGAGCCAACGCTCCCAATCCACTCAGTGCGGCTCATGAGACCTGGTGAGAGGATGATCAGAGCCAGGCGGGGCTCCAGCACAACCTGGGGTCTGGGAAGTCCTGGACAGCCCTGTGCAGTCCAGGGAAAGTGAAAGCAGGGCAGGCGGTGTTGTGGAGGTGTTAGTCTCCCTCCCAGTGAGCCCTAGAAAGCCCACCCAAGTTTCACTCCTCACTCCCCTTTTTACGTAAGAAAACAAACAAAAGTAAAAAAAAAAAATCAACATTTGCTACTGTGTGTTGCCCTTGCTGCCATGTGATCCAGGCATGTGATTCCCTTGTTGATACTTGTTTTTTTTTTTTCCAACAGGATCAAACTGGTAGCTGCCGTAAAAGCCTGTGTAACTTGTCAGAGCAATTCTCTACCCTGGCAAGTTACACAAGCCGCGGAGCTGCTCTCTGCCCCTGGGCGTCCTGCCTCCCTCTGCCTTCTGCCTGCATGGGTGACTCCTCCTCTCCGTCCTTCTTCAAAGGCATCAGCTATACTCACTTTTAGGGAAATTGGCAGAATTCTCCTTAGCTGCACCGCGGGACATGGTGAGACCCCTCGACAACGTAGCAGTTTCTTCCCGCCTTTCCTCCCTTTGGAAGTGTTGCTCAAATAAAAGGGAAGCTTGAGCCTCCACTGAAATAAACATAAAAAAGAGACAGACTGGGATTGCCAACCTGCAACGTGCTCTGTATTTGATTTCCTCTCGCAGTCTGTACAGATCTGCCTGCCTGCGCAAATCTGTTTAGTCATGTTGCACGGCTGGGCTGGATGGGGCTCTTTGCTGCAGGACTAGAGCTCTTTCCCAGGTCTCCTCAACAATCAGATGTTTGCTGTGCCAGGGAGCCGGTGTGCTCCCTTCGTCTGAATTTAGTTGGCAGCCAGGGGCTCCAGAGGATGAAGGGGGACCATGCAGAGCTTCCGTAACAAACCAAGTTTTAGCAAGGGGACTCCCTTTTATTGAAGGGCTAGAAATAACCATGGCCCTACCTGCAATGTCTTTCAGTGGCCAATGTGCTCTGGAGCGGGCCAGTCTGCCTCTCAGGTCTCAATGGGTTTCGTGAACGATGGAGGGACCCTTTGCTTCAGTGGCTGCCTTTGCTGCAAGAGATGGGCCACGGCTCTGAGGTACCTTTATGATCCTCTGCTTCGAGAGTTGGCCTGGGACCAGTCCAGCACCTGATCTCAGACGATTTATGGCCCTGGAGCGCAGCCACATTCTCATGGTTACAAAGGCGTGTGGACGCGGCCTGGCGCTGCCCTGTCCTCCCAGAGCATGCGGGTGAGGAAGCGCAGGAGGTGTGAAATGCTGGTGCTTGCAGTTGTGGTAACTATTGATCACCACCTCCGTGGGTTATTGAAGGCAAAAGATACAGTGAGAACACGACTGAGCTCCCTCACTTGCCCAAAATCCACACGTGCCTCCAGGTGATGCAAACCCTTCCTGGGACTTGACTGTAATTACAAATGTGTTTTTTCTTCACAATAGTAGGTGCCAACTCTTCTTAAGGGGTTTAGCTGCTCCCACAGTTGCTCCTCATAGCTGGCGGTGGCCCCTCCACTCTTTCTCCAGGGCTTGCTGTCGTTAGGTCCTGGTTGGAGACCAGCATCCACTGACACTACTAGCCTGTGGAAACACTAACTTGTTTTTTAAGTAGAGATTGGGTGTAATAGTCATTCAATGATTCAATGATCTCTGTCTTCCCTGAACAGAAAATACATGTCTGCCCTACCAAAGCCACTCTGCAGGCAGCAAACCTTTGCCATATGACAAGGATATATAGACTGCTGTTACACTCTCGCTGCGCTGTGTGACTTTAGCTAGGATGCTTAGCTATGTATTTCTCAACAGCAATAAACATACTATTTTCTTAATGATGATTTGTTTTTTTTCTATTAAACATAAAGCCTGGAGGCAACAATGGACAAAGCGCTTGCTTTGCCTGTTCCCATGTTTCCTGTCTCTTTGCTTTGCTGCAGCATCTTCTACTTAAAAAGTTATATTTTTGATCAATAGTATACAGAACAACTATTGGCCCAAGCCACTTTTCATGCTGACTGGATTTGAACTGGACAGTCACAGACTCTAAAATCTATTGCAAACTCCTTGAGTTGCCCCATTCTTCATTTTAAAAAATCTAGTGTTAGTGCTTTTCTATTTACAAAATATTTTTTCAAAAATTCAGAGATGATATTAAAAAAAAAATTACTTTTTACACTAGTTCAAACTGCCAGAACCATAAAATTTCAGGATGCCTATTTCTGTGCTTAAGTAGGACTTCAGGTGCCTAGTCTGCTACACCCAAAATGCGTCTGTTTCTAGGTTGCTTAGTTTTACTGTATTCTGGCCTCCTCCTTTGGTCGTGGCCTGTGCAAGGAACCTGTTGCTTCTCTGGGCTCTACAACTCCCTGCTATGGCACATTGACTCGAAATTCCTTCTTCTTGCCCAAGGGTCTCAGGCAGTTCATGTCTGTTTTGCATCTTAGCTCTTGCGTGTCACTTTTTTTTCTCTAACGTAGATAATGGTCTCCATACTCCATTGGTTTCTCTTTGCTGAAAATGAGCCTGTGATTTTTGTTTAATCTTGTTCCCATATATGAACGAGGTTCTGTTTGGCCAGATCACAAAGCCATCAGCATGGAAATGCTGAGTATATGTATGGCCCTAAATAATTAGCCAGATAAGGTTCAGTATGTGGTATTCAAGAGCAGTTAGTATCATTCCTTGGTTTTCTAGGAATTGGTCTAGCTTGCTGTTGCTTGTTGAAAAAGGCTTTCTGCTCTTAACAATCATCTCTCTTCTCAAAATACCTCTTTTTCCTTAGTGATACCAGCAAGAAACAAACTCGTGATGGTACATATAAATATGAATAATAGGCCTTCACTTTTCCAAATTTCAACTTGTAATTTTGTCAACGTTTCACCTTTCAACAACACAAATTCTACAATACTGTGAGAAGGTCTGTCGTTTTCTGAGGAGCTCTGTTAAAAAATAACTTTAAATTCTCCCCTTTTCTCACTGTGTCTCCTCCCTCCATGTTCTTTGTAGATTGTAGGGCTTGTTGACCGGAGATTGCCTTTACACTTGCATGGCACTGAGTGCGGTCGCTAACAGTAGAAATATGAACCTCTTCCCAAAAGCCAATTCAACTGATTTCATTCTCCCAAAGCAGCATCTACTCATAAAAAGACAGACAAATATTTTTTCCGCTTTCAGATCTCTCCTATTTCCCCATGAAAAGTAATGCAAACTTCTAAGCAAGCAGAGGACAGAGAACCTAAGTCATTGTACAACAGTTATCATGATTAACCTGACACTGCTACCGAAGGCTGCCCAAAGCTTTGCTGTGCAGGAGGCTTTAACAGCAGTGAGGGGTGCCTGCTTGGAGACAAGCTTCCAGAGTCTAAGTGGCAAGTCTGTTGCAATAACTCCGTTGATCAAATAAAATTTCTACTCACAGTGCACAGCCAAAAGCTGGTTTTGATTGCAGCCTTGAGGGGTATTTCTTGGCTTATGCACAATGTTTTAAGCCATGTGCAGCTCTACAAGTCATTACCGATGTTTGAAATCTCTTCATTCTTCTTATTATCCTCGGAGATGTGGAATGAAGACTATTTACCTTCCCTCATAATTCATTATGATTATTAAACCATAGGAATGAGAACTTGTGCATGAGAGTTGGACGTATCAGGCCTGTTCTGGCTGAGTCAACATTATTTCTCAAAGAAGACTGTATATTCAAAAATATGACCAACTTTCCCTTTTACCATTTTCCTCTCATAACTGTATTTGTGTACAAAGATTTCACAATGCTATGTTACATAGGCACTGTTTGCTGAAGCAGTAATATGAGGTTTCTCATTGCCATATTACCAAGATACATACCAAAACACTTTACCGGTACACAGAACAAGTCCCTTCATTAATTTCCTGGTGCCTTAGACCTTCAGATTCCTGTGTCAGATCTCACCTTTGTTTGTATCTCATCTGCCTTCTCCTCTCCACTGCATTTAAAACTATTTTAGTTTTCCTGCCTGCCCCTCTGGACCCTGCCAGCTCTTTATCCTCCAGACAACTCTGGAGAAAAGAAAGACCCCGGCCCCAGAACGGATCAGGTGGCATAAGCAGCACCCGCAGATGTGCCCATGCTGACGCAGAGATCTCCAAGCTGGCATGGCCACGAGCTCCTGTTGCCACGCGGTGCGGTGCGGTGGCGTGCAGAGCTACTAATGAGGGTAGGAAGGGCAGGATATTTGCATTAGCACGGGATTACAGGCCAGATAAAGAGCAAAGCTTGTTCAGGCAGGCCCTGACCGACCTGGCTGCTCTGTGCTCCAGAGGCAGCTGCGGTTTTGCAGGCTGGCAGCTCATTTTGTTTGGCGTAGGTATGTCCCAAAGTACTTTGTGGCTTTCTACCCCAATGGCCAGGCCCTGTTTTCAAAGCAGATTCACTGACTTGAGACTTCCACATACTTTCAGTGACATTCAGGCTCCTGACTGCCTAAATCTCCTTGGCAAATATGAGTTAATGTTCTAATCGCTTGAGGCATTGGGGGATTTTACTGTGCCATCTGAGGTTTCCAGTGGGTCTGCAAGCGTTAGGTCTTTTAGCCCCGTTTTCAGAGGGTGGGAACATCGCAGCCCAGCCGGTAGTGTTGATGGCAGTGGGAACAGAGGGCTCAAGCTGGAATGGGTGCGGAGATTGAGCTGCCCTCTCTTTCCCACATCAGGCTTCTCTTAAATTTAGGTTTGGCAGGTCACTGTGGAGGAACATGGCCACCTGACTGGTTCTCTAGATGGAGAGGACTGCAATCTCCTAGGCCGCTTATCTGTCTCCTTTCTTAAGCAACCACCCTAAATTAAATATAAATGGGATGTGTGCATAAGCTGTGTGCGCTTTCACGCTATACAATTCTGCTCCTGAAAAATACAATTTTACCCACTCTGAAAAATGTGCCGTTTGCTGGACAGAACAATCTTACGCCTTCTCCCCGCTCTACATACCTTTTATCCTCTGCTTCCAGGTCACTGTGGTGCTGAATGGAAGCTTGCAGGAGCAGGGACTGTGTCATGACTTGTTCATGTAGGACCTACAAAAATGAGGTTTTAACCCGGGTGCACATCTCTAGTACATAATATGCAATAAGTTGGCGTAATGAAAATGGATAAACTGGGAACGCAGCTCATTATGGAAATATGACCTAATATGGGAATAATTCCTAACTTCTGAGGAGTCCCATACTCCTTTCTGCTTTGCATTCAAGAACATGCTCACTGCATCATGGTTTGTGTTCAGAACGCTGACATTTGCCTAATTAAATTTCAGAAATATCTGAGTGGCAACCCTACTTGACCAGAATCAATAACTTTCCCTATCTGTGTTTTATCGTGTTTAGACAATGTTGTTGGTTGCATTTTCAATTTGTACATTTGACATCACATTGCTGACAGCACATACAATTTAGCTATTCACTCTAGAACCTTATCAATAATACAACCAGGTATTTTGTCATAGGGATTCGACTAATTTGCTTAATACTGAATCATTGTTATTGTTGTTACCGTTACCAGGCCCAGAAGCCAATACTCATAACCTGCTGCATTGGACACTAAGCAAAGAACTAAATGATACCTACTCCAAAGAGTATTCACTGTAAGAAATGACAGATGGATATGGGCAGGACAGTGGCACCACAAGCAGGTAGAGCCAACTGTAACAAATATACATGCTCACTTGTGCTTTCTTCTAGTAGCGTATTTGCATTCTGACCTCTCCACTGCTTTAGAAAAGAATACCCAAGATATTCTCTGTAGGTAGGTCACAACTGAGTTGTCTTTTAAGTGGCAGCAAGTGTTCAGATCCCAGTAAGACCATGTAAAGGCTGTGCATATATATACAGTTCTGTTAATTCCCAGCAGTAGGAACTACTCAGGCTCCATAGCATACCTACACCAGACCTTATAGCAACTCCCCTGACCCTCATGCCAGCTGAAAGTGCACTACATACAGGGAACTTTCTAATTGCAGTGCCTCCCAGTGAGCTGCAATACTGATTGCTGATATAGCCCTGAGGGAACTTTAGGGGCTCAGTGCCTTCCTTCCATGGTGCCTTTTTCTCCATCCCTTTTGTCTCTTCAGTTTATTTTATTTAGGACCATCACGCCTACCATGATCCTGCTGCTACAAAAGCGCTGCAGACTGACTGGGTCTGCCAGCATAGTCGGGACAGCCAGCAGAGTTTGTGGGACTGCCGTCTCTAGAGACTGCCAGGTAAGGAAAACATATACAGTTGCCAGGAACAAGTCACTGGTGTGCTGAACTGCACTGAGCCCTAGTCTGGGGCTGAGAGGACTAGCACAGGTGCACGGCTGCTCTTGGGTGGAGAGGCGCCCTAAGGCAGCACTTTTGCTCTATGTCTTCACTTTTAGGCTTGACTCTGGCCTCAAGGGTGCCTCAGAGCCCAGGAGGCACTGAGGGCAGTACTAGGGCTGCGTGCACAGGTGCTCTCAGGTTGTAACTGATTCCAAGTGCAAAAGTAGAGCTTTTGGTTAAGGTAACAGCAATCAGTAGGGATGTGCTTAAAACTGGAGAGAACAGGCAGACAGAGAGAGCAAGTAACCCAGACGCAACCAACCAGACAAAACAAGTTGTGTACAAACAGTCCCTAAAACTGTTATGCAAAGTCCAAATAATATGCAAAAGGGTTTTTCCTGCCTAAGAGCAGCAGATACACACAGAACATCTTTGTCCTTTCCACTAGAGCTGAGTGGTCTGCTGACGCTGATGAAATAGTCTGTGCCTGTGGTGTTTGGGGTGTAGGGCTCCCCGTACAGGGGTGAATCAGGCAGG